GGGCGCCGGGGCGCGGGCGCGGTGGGAAGCGGCGGGGACGGCGGGCGGCGGAGCGCGCGGCGAGCAGCGCAGGGCGGCCGGCCCCGACGTTGCTCGGCGGTGCCCGCACGTCTCGTGTTGCTTTACGCTGCGGACCCGAGGGAAAGACACACACACACACACACACACACATACACAAACACACACGCGCGCGCGCGCACACACACACACAAACACGCAAGCACATCGTGCCTGCGGGCCCGGCCGCCGACCGCAACCCCCCGGTAATTGAATCGGACATTGGAGCAGAGAAACAGCGCCGCGGGGCGGTCACCTTTCCGCGTATCGCGTCGCAGGCCGCCAGGTGGCCCCGCAGCAGCGCCGCGTAGTTCTGGTATTTCAGTTCCGCCTCTGACGCGCACGCCGCCTCCAGCTGTGAGTGCCACTTCAGAAAGTCGTTGGCATTGTGCAGCACCGCCTCTTCAAGGGCGCCCGCGTAGCTTCCCTCCCGCTGCAGGGGCGCCGCCGCCGCGGCCGCCGCCGCGCCGGCTTGGTCCGGGGCGGGGGCCGCGCCGTGGCCGGGGCGGGGGGCGTCCGCGCCCGCGGCTGCCTGGTCTGAGAGCTGGGGAGGATGAGGGGCGGCGGCGCGCCGTCGGGTGGGCGTTGGTCGGGTTTGATGATTCACCTTGCTGTCAGCGATGTCCCGGGGCATGCCGTTGCTGGGCCGCCGCCGATGCGGTGCCCCGCGCTTGTTTTTTGAAGCGTGGGGCGCCACGCCGCATCACACGGCAGCAGTCGGCCACCGCGCGCCCCACCGGCGCATGAGCCGAGGGTCCGCAGTGCATGGGCGCTCGCACTGCCGCGCCCAGCTGCCGCAGCAGCCAGCAAGCGCGCCCTCACGTGCGGCGGCAGCGGTCGCTGCGACACGACGCCCGCTAGTGCCTCCACCGCCTGCAGCTGCTCCTCATCCAGCTGCGCCTGCTTCTCCCATATGCTGGCCTGCGGCAAGCGCGTGCGGCGGGCCGCACGCCCCCCTGAATTCGTGCTCCGAATATTGCACGCACATTGCGCCCCAGTGAGCCGACAGGGATGCACCGCTGCGGGCCTCGGCAGCAGTGCAGCAATCCAGCGGCGCAGCAGCACGCGTCGGTGGGCACACACCACGCTGTATCCCTTGGATCCGGCTCCTAGCTGCAACCTCGTTCGGGGCAGCCCTGTTTGCCTTGCAGGCTGCCCTGGGACCGTGGCTGCTGCCATCGGTCACGGCCCTTTCAACGACGAACTGCAGATCGTCTAGACATTCGACGTTGCGGCACAGCTCGCCATTGATCAATCGACTGATTCAATATCAAGTTTGTAAGACGGACCTGGGCCCTGCCCTGCTGCCTAGTCCATTCTGGGGGACATGCACCGTCACCACACCTCCGGGCCTGGTAGTGTTGTCGCCCGATGGGTGCCTGGTGCGACGGGCGTCATGCACTGAGCAACAATGATACACTGCTTGCAAGCTTCACCTCATGCCGTATACCATATCCTCCAGGAGTGAGTCAATATGTAGATCAAGACAGCAAATCCTTTAGCAGGTGAGTGACCCCTGCCGCGTGAGCATGCAAGCGGGGGGCTGGGGGCGTCAACCCTTCACACTCCACCACCCTGTCATCTCATTGCTCGCATGTTCTGGTGGCATACAACAATTGCTGCCTTTAATGCGAAGGACTCGCTCCGCTGCCTCACCCCGCCTGGGCCGCGCACGCTTGCCAGGGGTGCAGAGGAAAGCCGCAAGACAGGGGGGTTGGGCTTGTGTTTGACATTTGGAAATTGACAGTCACAGCAAAGAACTTCTTGGTGGCCCCCTTGCGTGTCTTGACAGCGGAACAGATCAGCAGTTTGCAGCGGTTTGGCACCATGGGAGCACCCACGTACCGCAAGCCATTCGCGCGTGGCACATCAACTTGATTCCAGTAGATTCATCTCCTGCCAACCACGGACGCGTACCAGCATAATTCCAAGCTGAACTTCCGTGGCAACGGCCGTTGGATTCTGCACACGCCACGCTCACATTACACTTCACCACCATCGTGGGGCAGCCTGCGGATTCCAGGCACACGGCTGGCGCGCTGATCTTCGTGGCTGCTCGGACTCCTCTCCATGATTTTTCAGGCGTGTAAAATTATGAGCGGGGACATGCAGGAGGGTCTGTGGGTGCCCCCAGCTTCTTTGCATGGTCAGACTGCACAGCCCCACACATACAGCCATTGGCGCGGCTTTCACCCACTTCATCATACTAACAATCTATATCAGTGGAACCATCGCGCTGATGGCATATCATATCAGCGCTTCGTGATGATGTTCAATACCTGGTACTGTACCTTGGCACCTTGTTACTGCGGTGTGATGTGGTCACGACGTTGCACGCCCGGTCGCGGGTTACGCAGACCTTCGACGTTTCTCCTCGCCATGCAGTGGGGTTCCTGACACTCTGTCTGAGAGAGACGGTACAAGCGAGCACAGTGCGCTCTCTGCGCGGGGCATCCTTGCAAGGATTGCGCGCCTCACACCCACAACTTGATCTGAAAAGAGCTCGTGTTATAATATCTTCAAATACCTACGTGGAATGCAATCAAGGGTTGGCGCGGCGCCTGTCACCCGTAGATCAGAAAGGCGGGGCGAGACATATACGAATGGAATTTGGCAGCACCCAGCACGGGCGACCCATCGTGACATCTACGGTGGTGCCAAGTCATGCTGGTGGCCAGCTGAGCCTGCACATGTCGGCGGGGCCCAGCGCATTGGCGTCGCAGCAGGAGCATGGGCTTCATCACAGCGCGCACCACCTACAGCAACAACCGCCGCCCTCACACCCCCAGCTGCGACAGCACCACAGTGGGGCGGCCCAACCACAGCGCAATCGCCAGGCGCACAGCTTCGACGGCGGGTGGGGCCGTGCACAGTTGCTGCAGCAGCATGAGGCTGCCCTTCATGGCCTGGAGCCTCTGACCGGCGGCATGGACGCAACGTGGCTGCACCAGCCGCGCTTCCGACCCCAGGAACCAAGACTGTCGTGGGGCCACGCACGCGCGCACACGCAGCCGCACCGGCATGAACCATCGTGGCCCCGTAGCGACTGGGTCGGACGCGCGCAGGGGCTGGCTGCGCCTGCCTCGCGCCCAGGCAGCGCGGGCGACACACTCCACCAGGGACGCGACAACTTTGGGCCCTCATGGGGGCCAGAGCAGCCTGCCCCAAAGCGCCCACGGGTTGAGGGCCTCGACTCGTCAGGCAAGCAGCAGCAACAGCAGCAGCACGAGCAGCAACAGCTTCGACCATGGCAGCGGCAGCCCTTGCTGCAGGAGCAGGCAGCCCCAAGCATGCGGCATCAGGCAGACGAGGGCCGGCAAAAACGCGACGCGCATGAGCAGCGGGAGCTTGGGCACCAGTCACGGCAGCAGCAGCTTGAGCAGGCCAAAGGTGACGGCCATCGTCGGCGGTCTCCAACCAAGCGGCAGCACGAGGGCTCGACGGCACCTCCACCGCTGACGCCGACCCCGCTGCCGCCACCACAGCAGCAGCAACAGCAGCAGCAGCAGCAGCAGCAGCAGCAGCAGCCTGGAGGCGGCTGGCAATGCGGGGAAGAGGGCCAGCAGCGGCGCAGTGGCAGCGGCATTGGAGAAGGCGGAAGCGGTGCGAGGGAGCAGCCTGCTGGGGGCGAGCGTGCGGCCTCAACGGCGCGCGGTGCTGAGCAGCCCTCCAGAGACGGGCCAATCGCAGGTGCCGGCGCCGGCGCCGGCCGGCCGGCCAGCCACGGCGGCGGCCGGGGCGAGCCGTCAGCGTCGGACCCAGATCAGTCGGGCGGCAGCGGCGACGGCAGTGAGGAGGGCGAGGAGCATGACGACTCGGAGCAGGAGCAGGAGTGGAGCATGCCCGACCAGTTTGTCGCCCTGCCGCCCGGCTTCGAGCGGCAGCAGCCCGCATCCCTCAACCTGCGGAAGCTCAGCCACGCGCAGCTGCTGGCGGCGGCGGCGCGGCACGCCGCACGGCACATGCCGGTAGCGGCGGGGGACCCCTCTGAGGCGACGCTGGCCGGGGTGGTGGAGCGGGCGCGGCTGCGGCCCGGGGTGAAGCCGGCGGTCGCGTTCACCCTGGGGGGCGGGCCGAAGGGCACCATCTACAGCAAGGCATGGGGCAGCATCGGGCGCAGCATGCGGCAGGCGGTACAGGTGGGTCGGCGCGCTGGCGCGTGGCCAAAGGTCACGGGGTGCGGCCGGCGGGGGCGCGGGGGCGGAGGCGGAAGCGGGCGGCACATCAGCTGCTCGCTCGGGCGCGCAAGGGGCATGTAGTTGCGCGACACGCTTTGAATGGTCTTGTGCACTAGATGCATTAGGTTTGGTTGCCAGCTTGAAGCATGGATCTGCCCCCACCCTTCTGCCCCAGGGCCCTGCCAAGGCCCCCACCACACAAGCCCCTGCGGCGGCGACCCCGGGCACGGCCGCCTCGCCTGCCGCGGAAAAGGCGGCCGTCGCGGCCCCCATAAAGGCGCCGGCGGGCCCCTCCCCC